AGTTTTTTGGCCATTGTAATTAGTTTTTCTATGAATGTTTTATTACATGTCATTCAGGAAAATATGGAAACATTTCCATTGGGCCTGTAACTTGAATTGGATTGCTTAATCCGAATGTGTGCAATCAAACTTATTAAATACTTCAAAGCAATGTTCTAAGTGGAGGCAAAAATTTATATATCTAACATCATATATGAGAGTTCTAATTAGTCCATATCCTTACTAACATTTGACAGTTCCAAAATTTTTATTTTAGTCATATTGGTGTGTGTAATGTGGTATCAGTTTTAATTTGCAGTTTTGTTTCCATTTCCTTAACTATTAAAGTTAAGCACTCCTCATGTTTATTGGCAATCAAGTGTCTGAGTTATTTGCCCAATTTTCTATTGGGTGATCTTTCTTTTACTTCATTGGTTTGAAATACTTCTATATTATGAATATATACCCTTTTTATATACATGTTTTGCAAATATATTTTCCAAAAATGCTAATGGCATGTATTTTCATTGGTTTAATGAAACCTGTTTATTAATTAAAAACAGAACCTCTTAATTTCAGAGTCTGATTAAGTTTTTCTTTTAAATTTACAGATTTTCTTTTTGTTTGAATAATCTTTGCCATTACCAATATTATAAAGTTCACCTATGTTATTTTTTTCTAATATTTTTAAAATTTCTCTCTGGCATTTAAATTTGAAATTCATCTGGAATTGTTTTAAGTATTTAGTGTGAGCAGAGAAAAAGATACATCATTTCTATATGGATAATCAATTAACCCAGAACAAGTTATTGAAAAGACTATTTTGCTCTCCATTCTGTTTCATCAGTCAGTGCCACACTCTCTTAAATTCTACAGCTTTATCATAATTCAGGATATCTGGTAGTATAATCCCCTGCTTTTTTCTCTTTCAAATTACCATAGGAGTAGAAGTTTTGGATTGATTGTATCAGAAGCTCAGGGTACCCTCTTTGTCAGCCCACCAACCACTTAACTTGTAAAAGTTATTTTAAAAAAATGTCTGTTACCTATAACAAATGGAGAAACATTTACCCATAAAACATACTAAATCTTTAGAAGAACATCAATAATCTGTGGCCTTTCAACTACAATCTTCTCCTATGCCTCTCAGGTTCTATGTCATGTAAATTCTATTCTGAACAGGTGTGGCCAAAATTGTGGTGCCTATTTCAACTCTCAGCTCCACCTCTGGAACTCTTCATGTAAGCATGCAAAAGGTGCAAGGAACTCTGATTTCATGGCTCAGCCCAACCACCCATCTTCCACTCATAGGCTAGGGTTCTGCTCTAGATACAGCAGACCTAAAATATTGAAGATGTAATTTTCCCAATCTGTCCCAGATTGCTCATACCAAGATTTTATGTCAGGACTAGTAAACTAAGAAGATATGGTATACCAGGCCCTCTTGTAGAGTGGAAAAGTCACTTCAGAAGAAGTAGGTCACAAGGGGCACCTGGGTGGCTCAGTTAGATAAGTGTCTGACTTCGGTTCAGGTCATGATTACCCAGTTATGGGTTCAAGACCCACATGGGGCTCTCTGCTGACAGCTCAGAGCCTGGAGCCTGCTTCAGATTCTGTGTCTCCCTCCCTCTCTGCCCCTCACCTGCTCACACTCTCTCTCTCTCTCTCTCTCTCTCTCAAAAATGAATAACAATAAAATCTTTTTTTGAAAAGAAGAAGAGGTAGACCATTATTCCAAACATCCAAACATCAAGGCATATATGTACTGCCCAGGCAAGAACTTGGCCATGAGAATAGCTCTTCTTGAAGAGACTGGCTTTATTTGGAACAGAAATGTTTATGACTAAGGGCATTGTCAAAAACAATGGACATTTTGGTAGCAAGAAATTAAGAGGGAGCTAGTAGCTCAATGAACTGAATAGCTATAAGCAAAATGGCAGACCAGGCAGAACTTTAGCAGAAAGAACCAGAGAAAGAAATAGTAAACAAGATTCATCCTGAGATCACACTCATCCTTAGGTATTTAGAAGATTTGTATTTATGTAAGCCTGCAGCTACTCAGTAGCAACCAGAGTATGACCTGTAGTAGATCTGAAGTCTTTGCTAAACCATATATGTTTCCATGGATGAGTGTGGCAATAGCTTCACCATCTGAGGAGCAGCCAAGAAAATAACTGTAGTGCTACTAGTCCCTAGTTGAATACAGGACAAAATCACAATTTACCTGAACTGTAAAAAGTCTTCAAATAACACACACACACACACACACACACACACACACACACACACATCCCATAGCAGAGTGAAAATCTGAACCAAGGGTCTTGGGTACAAACTTGTATTTAATAATAATAATAATAATAATAATAATAATTCCAGTATAATGAGCATACAATGTTTTATTAGTCTCAGGTATACAATATAGTGACTCAATATTCATACACATTACTTAGTGCTCATCACAGTAAGTATACTCTTAATCCCCTTCACCTATTTTACCCATCCCCCACTCACCTCCCCTCTGGCAACCACCCGTTTGTTCTTTATATTTAGGAGTCTGTTTTTTTTTAGTCTCTTTTTTCCCTTGGTTTGTTTTGTTTCTTAAATTCCATATATGAATGAAGTCATAGAAGACATACAGATAGCCAAGACACCTGAAAAGATGGTCAACATTACTAATTATCAGGGAAATGCAAATCAAAACCACAATGAGTATTGGTGAGGATGTGGAAAAAAAGGAACCCTTGTACACTGTTGGTGTATATATATATGTGTGTGTGTGTGTGTGAATATATATATATATATGTGTGTGTGTGTGTGCATTATATAACATTTGCAACAACATGGATGGATCTAGAGACTATAGTGCTAAGTGAAATAAGCAGAGAAAGGCATAAACTATTTTAACTAAATGTCTCCTTTTGACTTGGATGCTAGAATTAGCAGAGAATTCTAAGCAGCTATTACAAATCTGTGCCAAGAACTAAAAGAAACTACTTTTATGAAAAGAGAAAAATGTAATAATAATAAAAACTCATCAAATAGAGAATATCAATAAATGATAAAAATTATTAAAAAGAATCACATGTAAATTCCAGAATTAAAAAGGTAATGAGCCCAATGAAAAATCCCTAAAAGAATAAAACAGTAGATTTGAGTTGGCATAAAAAAATATTTACAATATGAATAAAAGAAATAATCAAAAATGAAGAAGAATAAGGGCTCCTGGGTGGCTTAGTTGGTTAAGCATCTGACTCTTGATTTCAGTTCGGGTCATAGTCTCACAACCATGAGACTGAGCCCCACATTGGACTCTGTGCTGAGCATGGAGCCTGCTTGAGATACTCTCTCCCTCTGTCCCTACCCTTATCAAAAAAATGAAGACAAATAAATATTGCAATTAAGTCATATAAGACATTATTAAATGTACCAACATACCCACAATGAGAGTTTCAGAAGCAGAGGAGAAAAAAAGAAGTGGGGAAAATAAATATTCACAGTAATAATGACTGAAAACTCTCCAACTATGATGAAATCTACACATATTAGAAATTCAGTGAACTCCAAGTAAGACAAACACAAAAAGTTCCATATGCAGACACATCATACTAAAACTTCTGAAAGCAAAGGTAATAGAGAAAACCTTGAAAACAAAAAGAGAAAAAAAATGACTTATCACATCTAAGGAAAGCACAGTAAGCTTGACAGCTGACTTCTCATCAAAAACAATAAAATTCAGAAGGTAGTGGAATGACATAGCATGCTGACAAAACAAAGGCGAATAAATATCCTACATCCATCAAAGATACCCCTCAAAATCCAAGGATAAACAATGATGTCTTCAGCTTAAAAACAAAACAAGCAAAATAAAGCAAAACACACAAAAAAGTGGAGAGAAATTATTTTCAGGAGACCTGCCTTAGAAGAAATACTAAAATAAGTTCTTCATACTGAAAGGAAATGATAGCATCAATAGTCATTTCCATGTGAAAAAAAAACAAAGAATACCACTAAAAGTAATCTTTCAGACAATGATAAAAGATAGTGTAGTTACATATTTTTCCCATCTCTTCCATGATTTAAAAATCATTTGCACAAAACATAAATAATAAAGTTGTATTGTTAGACCTATAATGTAGAAATGTAATATATTTGGCAATAGCAACACAAAAAAGAAGAGTAAGACTGACATTGTGTTAGAATAAGGATAGACATCATTTAAAATATGCAGGAAACAATGAACAAAGCCAGAAATGGAAATAATGTTTATCAATTACCTGTTAGTACAAATGTGTGCTAACATTTTTATGGCCAGCAAACTAAAACTTATGGCGTGGGGAGATTTATTGGGTTTATTTTCTATACTCATAAATTTGTTCTCTTCTTTCTTAAAATAAATCTGAACATGTTTGCTTTTCTTCCTCTGGTTGTTGCATTCACTTTTTAAAAAGGAAAATAAACATAAAACAAAGAAAGGAATTAACCAAATGGTAAATGGCTACCAATCAGCAGGTAACTCTGCCTTCTTTCTCTGGGGACAGGGTCTGGGGGCAGGGGAGGGCCACTGTCAGCACTATCTCCATTACCTTTCTTGTCACTTGGAAGGGCCACTGGACATTGCCTTGATATTTATTGCTTTAGATCTCCCTCATATTATAAGTCTGAGGAAAACAACCCCTTTTCAAAAAAGACATATGGATCTTCATCATATGGATGCAGATATATTCTGGACCACATTCTGTGCCGTCTTTCACTTCACCAACATCATCCCAAAATGGTAGTCTGTATCTCAGCATTGAAGTGAGTCCAATTAAAGCCACTGAAGTGAGTCTAATGCACAGTAGAATGATCTCTTAAAAAGTGAATTCCTTTTTTCTCATGCTGACCTCTTCAATACAGATATCTTAGATATCACATTTTACATATGTAAAACCACACATACCACAGTGACCAATTTGGGGCATTTAATCCCTGTTGCAACTTTGAGTTGCACTCTGTCCCATGGCCAAAAATCTCCCTACGTTATTCATCATGGCTGTTACATCTCTTTTTATAACAACCCCTGCATGGGATCCTGTCCTGCACATAGACATCTTCTGGCCACTGATAAGATGTCCCATTGCACCGCTCTGGAAAGCCATATTTATTGTCTTCATTTCTAATATTTCATCTGATGGCATGAATTTGCAGTATTTGCAGAAAAACGCAAAAGCGCAATCAGCCTCAGGACTCAGTGCAGTTTGAAAGAACACATATCCTTTTCCCGATGTTATAAGGATCTGCTGTCAAGCTTCTCTCCTTCAACCACACTGTTCCCACTGTGCTTCCATAGAAAGATGTCCCCTGGATTTTAAGAGTTGTTCATGCATTCTTTATATGCAATAGTGTTACAAAAATCAGCATAACAGCATTTACTGAATTGACTGGTCTTTAACTTTGTTGGATATGTTACACACACTGTTTACTCATATGTACACATTTTTTCATCCTGTTTCATACTCAAATTATGATTGAGCTCATGAGTCACAGTGAATGCAAAATCTCTCAAATTGACCCCTTGGAAACTTTCAAATACACAATCAACCTGATGCTTACATATCCCTGCATGTAAGTGATACTCAAAGTAATGTTAAAATATTTATTTACAAAAAGATGAGCCACATTAGGATGCAGGTGAGAATTAAAGATGATTATCTTCCAAGTACAAAGATTCTTCCATAGTTGACTTTGTCATGTATTCCATGGGATTTTCTTGACTCTAGATCACAAACCCAAATAAAACCACATCAATTGCCAATGAATCAAAATAAGAATTGCTATATTGGCTACAGTGCAGGTTTCCTCTTGCATCTATGAGATATTACTTTCTGAATAAAGAAATAAATTGTGGTCTACCACCACTGTCTAACAAGATATATGTGGTTCCACCATCCCTCATAAGAACTATATTTCAAAGAGGAATTATCCCTTTCTTAAAACTTCATTTGTTGTTCTTCTCCTTCTGTTAAGCCACAGTTTGTGGGTAGAATTTTTGTCTCTTCACTGGCAATAGTATACACCAGATGTTTAAATGTAGAAAGCGTTTTGGGCTCGATTTCATAAGCAATATCATTTATCTATAACATTTCTTGAAAGCGACCAAAACAGGAGTTGAGGGCAACCAAGGGTTCCAGGTCCTTCGTCACATAACCACAGTAGTAAGTCATTTTGGACAAAAGGCTAGTCCTTGAAAAAAAGAACCTTGATCTGTGTAAGTGAACACTGGGAGGTGTCTGGACAGCAAAAGCTTCTTGACTTTCAAATGGAGAACATGTCTCTGACCCCCAAAACACAGACTGTAAGAGTGCCAACATGGAGGCTTCATTAAGCCCCTGCCCATTCCCTTTACCCTCAAGGGAATTACCACTTCTGGAGACCATGGTATTGGGAGCACCCAACCAGAAAGGACCAAAAACACCTCCTTCCAGAACGGGAGAATAATCTCACATGCACCAGGGTCTTATGGAGCAATCATATGGATCCACTGATGAAAACAAAAGAGAACAGGTCAGGAAACATCACTTTTAATCTTCTCCCTCTGAGCTGGCTGTATGCAGTGCTGATTTTTAAGGATGTTTCTTTTGAAAGATTGAACTATCAGAGAAGAAACACTATAAAAATTAAAAAGTATAGAATGAAGATGGTTATTAGCATACTGGAGTAGAGAAGAAAGAGAAGGATCCAAGATAAAAGTGATTAGCGTTTGGCCCAAGACATCGCTCAATGTATTGCCTTGGATATGTTCTTAACATTGGTGAAGCTGAATGATATTGGAAGAGTAGGAGAGAATGGTGATTAACTGGAGATTGATAATTATTAAATCTGAAAAATGAACACATATGGATTATTTTACTGCTCTCTAATACATAAATATCTGTGAACATTTCCACAACTGACATTTAAAGCAAAAAGGCCTTTTTTGCTTTAAAAAGATGAACATAAATCTTAGTTTTCTGGGGATATTTCAATTTACATATGTTGACTTCACATAAATATTAATAGTTTTTCCTTTAAATTTCAAATGATAAATTACTTGGTCACACTACTCAAGAGATGTATATACAAAAATTCATCATAAATTATATTACAAAATCTTTCATGGTAGTTCACATATACTATATGGCACAATTATGTATTTACTTGTTTTCCCCATGCTGTCTCTTGTAACCCTGTCAAACTGTAATGTGTTAATTGCAAAGAGTCAACTATTAGTATCCATTGTAATGCTTGGTTACTTCAAGTAATAATAAACAAAGGTAGAATTTGAATGGGAAATATTTTGAGGTGTTAGATGTGTGTTACCCAACTGTGTTTATGATTAATTTTATTCTTTTTTTTTAAGTTTACTTATTTACTTTGAGAGGGGTGGGGAGGGGCAGAGAGAGTGAGAGAGAGAGAATCCCAAGCAGGCTCTGCACTGTCAGCAGTGAACTCACAAACAGGAGATAATGACCTGAGCTGAAGTCAAGACTCAGACACTTAACCCATTGAGCCACCCAGGCACCCCATATGATTGATTTTATTCTTAAGAAAAATAACATGTTTCATTTTACAATGAATATGTTTTGCTCTTGTAATTAGGAAAAAGTGTTTACTTTTTATTAAAAATAAAACCTATGATTCTCTCCTTCTGCCACAAAAAAAAAAGAAAAAAAAAAGAAAAAAGAAAAAAGAACATGTTTCAAATCCTCTGGCCATATGAAATATAAAACAAATTAACTTAGTTAAGAAAAATTGGAGGGGTGCCTGGGTGGCTCAGTCGATAAAGCATCCTAATTCAGCTCAGGTCATGATCTCACAGTTCCTGTGTTCAAGCCCTGAATTGGGCTCTGTGCTGACAGCTTGGAGTATGGAGCCTGCTTTGGATTCTGCCTCCCTCTCTCTGCCCCTCCCCCACTCATGCACTGTCTCTTGCTCTCTCTCTCAACTATAAATCAACATTAAAAAAATTATTAAAAACAAAGTTGGAGATCGAGGGATAGTGTAGACAAAAGGAAGTGTCTTTAAAACTGAAGAGAAAATTAATGAATCCAAAAAGGAGCGAGGGAAAGTTGGGGGAAGGTGTGGTTGTCTTTCTGGGGCAAAATCATTAAACTCTAGCATTTTTCAAATTGCAAGCTAACCTGCTCCAGAGATTGACTTTCAAATGCGTTTATCTCATATTTGTGAAAGTGAGAAATCTGGCACTGGCACAACATTAGCTGGAATATTCTCTCATTACATTCTTGCTTTGTGAAAGAATTAATAAAAGCCACAAAATGGTGCAGACACTGTTACACCCTTGGGAAAAAAACAAATGAATGATATAGGCCTAGCATACAAATTTGGGCAGAGTAATTGGGATATGAATAGACTTGAAGGGCTTGTAAAATTGTGTTCAATATTTTACCTATAAGGTGCCTGTTTTATTTTTGTAGTGAAAGATTCCACAGTCTTTATCAGGTTATAATGATATGTGATTATTTAAGGTAATGACTGTAAGAATCTCTAGCCCAGTTAAAAAAAAAAAAAAAAAAAGAAAAGTCTGTTATGAGAGATCTAACACACCACTCAAAAATCACTTCTCATAGAAGGTGATATAAAAATGAAAGATGCCTGATTCAGCACCTACCATCTCCTGAATGCTTTATTCATGTCTGCTTACTTTTTCTACCTTGATTCAGTGTGCCTTGACTTCTTCTCTCTCTGAAATCATTTTCCTGTCACTTCCTTTTATGAAAAGCAACAATTGCTTCTTTATTCTTCATGGAGAATTCCTTATTCCTACTTAATCCTACTAAAACTTATATCTCAACAATCTGAAGCCCTGCAGAGGGAAAGATTCCCATAGTCAGAATCCCCATATACCATACAGAGTAGACAGATGGTCATAATTTTCTTTGATTACCAAAGCCACTTGCAAACCGCTAAACTTGGTAGCCATCTCATTAAATTACTATTTACTCTTTAAAAAACAACAACAACAACAAAACTCTTACAGCTCAAGGAATTTTATCCCTGTTTTATAGATTTCTTCTCCACCATCTTATCCATGTTCTGACTATGTTTAGCAAGCAAGTGGACAACGTATATAACATCTAGCTTATTCTACCTCCAAAACTCAATTTCATTGATCCCTAGCCATCAACCCATGGCCATGACCTATATTATATTATCACACTCTCAACTCTCCTGGTTCTTCCATCTTAAATAGCTTACCACGATTTTTATTTTTAATCTAAAGTAACTCATCAAATTCACAGAGGACTTAAATAACTGCTCTTTCCATTTTATTGCACTCTTTTCAGGAACACATTATTTTCCCTTCCATTTTCACAGCCTTTTGTGGAGTCCATTAATTCAACCACCATTTTCCCAACTCCTCAACCTAAAACGAACTGATTCCTTCACTACTACAACAAACTGCCGTCACTCCTGGGAAAATGTCATGCTATGTTTAGGAAGATGCTTAAAAGAAAGTAATGCAATCAGAATTAGAATGATACCTTGATACCCCAGTCAAAAGGTTGAAATTATGAATATTTATTTCAAAAAACTCTTATACATTAATACTTCGTCTTTTGTTGTCCACAAGTTTTTTTAACTTCCTGAATTTCTAAATTTCTTCATTAATGCACAGAGTGCTGCGCTGAAATTCTACATTTTTTTTTTGTCTTCACAACTTATTACTGTTGGCTTTTGATCATGGTTGTTTAAATGTTTAAGCCAAGAATTCCTCATTACCCTTGTTTTAAATACAGGATTCAATATTTGTATTAAACTTTACTATCAGATTGTAGATAGGAAAAAAGGATGTGCTTCAGGTAAACATCATCCTCATCATTAAGGTGACAAAGTACCTAGTTTACCCAAGTACTTTCCAAGTACTAATGTGTAGGCACCATACAAAATGCCAAGAACACATAAAAATAACTCAAGATCATGAGCCAGAATCTTTGTCCTCATTAATTATTGTATTTGATGACTCCAGAAACCAAAGCTTCTGAAGCAGTATAACATTTTCATTAGTAAGTGTAATAATGACATAGTATAGTGACTTCAAATTATGCTGCTAGATTTTCTATGCATCTTGTATAAATGCTTTTTCCTTCCAACAGTTTCTTCAAATTCATCAATATCTGTACTCTAATTACCACCCCCCCTCTTATTCTCATTCATAGCCTAAATCAGTGTTTTCTAAACTACCTCCTCCTAAAACACATTTTTGCCCATCTCAACAAACTAAAATACAACTGAATAAGATACATTAAATGGCATGAATCCTAAACGGGATGTCACCACTTGGCAAGAAAGAATACTGTTGTTTGTGTGTATGTGTGCATATGTTCATATATTCATATATGCACAAATGTATTCATGCATGCATATATTCATGCATGACCAAATACTGGATGCTTCTCTCCTTCACAGCTAAACTTCTTACATAACTTAGCAGAAGAAAAATTAGTGAGGTTTTCATGATCCCTTCCAACTATAGTCCTTATACTTAGTTTGTCTCACCAATCTTATGGACAAAGATTTTTATTGGAGACCTCACATGGCAAAGGGAAATATAAATATCTTCCCCTGTGCCTCTCATTTGATTAAGATCAAGATTTAGCTGCTTAGCAACAAGACTTTCTCAGTTTCACACACCATGGCAACTGGCTAAAGTCCCTCCCAATTGTGACTTCACCACCCCCATCCAAGCTTTACTTCTAATTTCTTCTCAATATGAATAAATCCAACTAACTTTCTTATCCTCATCTTATATGCTTATTTAAGCACTTCAGTTTAGTACTTTCACTCGTATTGTTCTCCTGTTCCCAGATTGTTTCCTTAAGATTAAATCATATCATAAAACACTTGAAGGTCTAGAAAAAAAGTTTGCCCCCACTATTAAACTTTCTCTAAAGAAAACAGACATCAATAATCTTCTCTACTTTTCTTTTTACTCTCAAACAATATTTCAGAGACATTAGGTATCTGCACACAAATATGCTTCATCTCTAAGGAGAACTGTTGAATTGTCAGCAAGAAAAACCAAAAATAAAATTCAGAAGAGAGGCGAACAAAAAAATAGTGTGGGAATAAATTTAATAGGTAAATGGACTTGCTAGCAGTTAAAAATGCTAATCTGGGAAGTCTACATTTAGCAATTTGGTTGGATAAATCACAGAAACAAGTTTAGCTATGTCTTATCTTTGAAGGTTTAGCTTTGAGACAGAGAGGAGGTTTTCTCTGGTATTCTCTGCCAGTATGATTTGAGAACCTCAGAAATATTCTGGCTTCAGTTCCAAACTGCCACAATAAAGAAAATATCCTTTACCATTCCACCTAAATAAGTATGGACGTATACCT